ATTTAAAAAAAAAAAAAAAAAAAAAAAAAAAAAAAAAAAAAAAATATTTTTGAAATTTTTTTTTTATATGTGAATGAAAAGAAGCCGAAATAGAACATTTTATATGTTTAAAAGCAACAAATGTTTGCTGTAGAAAGAAATAAAATTTTTTCATTAAAACTGGTAAAAGAGCCATAGCGACATATGACATGTTATGAACAGCCTATTATAGAATCATTTCTTTTCAACTGGTATTGCTGATAGTTTCATGACATTGTTATAAGTTCTCCCAATTTCGTCGTAATATTCGTCATATACTACTAATAAATCGTCAGATTTTGCTTTAAATGTATCTTAACTTCAAAAAGGACTTTTTCCTGGTGTTGCGAAAGCAGTGGATAAAGGATTCTTTGTTGTCCTTTTGTGACTTGTGCATTCTTGCAGCTAATCAAGAAGTTCAAATTGCCATAAGAAAAGATTTGCCTGAAATATAAATATCTGATGTGGACTCAACCTGAGTTTCTTGTACGACGTATTAAAACTGCACACATTTTTTGCTGCACCTCATTTAAACCTATTTTCTCGAATTTAATATTTCTATTTTTCGCATTCAATCCCCACAACTCATATTGCGCGCAAGACAAAAATAAATAAAAAACTCAAAACATCTCCATTAAAAATTGTAAAATACAGAAACACCTAAAACACCAAATGAAGTTAAAAGCAGATAGAAAAAACAATTTTTACAATTAAAATTAAAGTTTCCACGAACAAACAAGCAATTCGGCCAGCGGGCAGAAAAGTAACATTTTCGGTCACAAAACTGAAAGTTAACATTTGGTTCCATTGCGCAAAAGGACACTGAAGTTCATGAACCAAACTGATTTAATTCCCTATTCCACTAAGAGTTTCAAATGTAAACAAATGGCAGCTTCGTTAGGCCTAGCGCCACTTTTGAACTGTACGCAGTTCTTCAACTACTGCATGCAATTAATTAATTAAGGCATAAAAATTATTCCAAAATGTAAAAACAATAAAATTCGATCACCTTTAAAGCAAAAAATAGACATTTTACCAAAATATAACAACAAAAAACTGAGATCACCGAGCTGGTAACACTGTGAGTATACACACACACACATATATACGTAGAATCGGTATTTACTGTCTAGGAATATGATGTCTGTAAACTTACTTCCTATGTGGCTGTCTAGGGGCTAATAAACTAGTCCGATTTATGGAAAATTCGATAATTTAATGAAACGTGAATAGTTGTTACAAACTACAAAATGATTACACATGTAGAAGAAACAGATGATATTTACAGATCAAGAGAATTGACCGTCTTTTACATGCAAACATCTTTTAAGTCGCATCATCGTCTTAATGGCGGAATCGTTTTACTTCTATCATCGGAAAAGTAAAAGATTTATTTTCACAGCTTGTCGCGTCATCCGATTATAATGGACTATGGCATCCTACATATATATATATATATATATAGGATGCATCTAAATTAATTAGTAAATTCGAAATTGGAATATAAGCAAGGAAATTCCTTTAAAATATAATAATTGCAACCGCTTATAAGATGTTAATTTTAATCGACTTTTATGACAATAGAAGGAGATTAATTTTTATTTGTATAATTTTGTATATTTTCCCTTTCGCATTTTTATTTTTCGAGATTGTTCTACTATGAATTCTCTCTTTAATTGGATTAGTTTTGATTTGTGTTACACCTCTTACAACAAACGGTTGCAATTATTATATTATAAAAAAATGCCTTGCTTTTATTCTAATTTCCTAATTAATTTAGATGCTTTAAGATTATTCTACTTCACTCCTGCAGCTATAGCCCAGGACGGGTTTTGAAAAAATTATTCTAATTTTTAACCCATTTATATATTTATATATTATATAAATGTATATATTATATATATAATATATATACAGATATTTATATATATTCCCCATATATATATATATTCATATATATATATATATATGAATATATAATTGTTTCATAAGAATAAACTGAATTTAATTAAAAAAATTAAATTTAAATACAAATTTAATTAAATATTCTTTGCGCCAATGCTGCAAGGAATGAAATTTAAATTTAAACAAATTTAAATAATTTTTAACAAATACGTATAAAAGTAAAAAAAGCAAATTTAAGTCCTAAAAAAAGAAAAAAGCCAAAATAATTTTAAAAAAAATGTGCAAACATATAAAAGATTTAATTCTCGAACTAATCTACAATATCATTTAAATTCAGAAGCATAAGCAAATCAAGTGCAAAATCAATCCATGAAAATAAATATATTTACTAATTTAATAAATTAAAATTAAATTAAACAATTTTTTTTAAAAAAATGCATATGTGAATGACCGTTGAGTAGGCAGGAGACAGACTTATCAAGGGGAAGTTGCCTCCAAACCTAACTCTCCAATCATTCAATTCGTGTTTCGTCATTCATGCAGGCAAGGGTAAAAGTCAAAACCAAAAGTAATTCCAATAAAGTGGTACCCTTAGAAATTAACATTTAAGAATTAAAATTTAAGAATTAAAGTTCAAAAAGGAAAATACTAATGAAGTCTTTTGAGAAACAAGAAAGAAAGAAAGTAAAGAATTAAACTTTTTTTTTAATTAAAATTTTTTTATAAAATTAATTTTCTATAAAAAATAAAAAAAATATTTTAGAAACCAATGTATTTTAGAAACCCTTGTCTACAGAAACTTTCCCTACAACGAATATGCATATCAATAAAAAGAAACTAAAAAAGAACTAGACATAATCTATATAAACCAATAAGAAACAAAAAGAACTAATTCACAATTTTTAAAAACAAGATATATTTAAAAATATAATTTTCATATTTAGAAAATACTTAGATACTACATAAAAAATTTTAAAAAATACTTAAAGCAAGTAAATATTAAGTTTTAATTCTAACTTACCTACTATATGAGTGTTGGGGTCTGCAAAAGTGTTGTTACAGAGAAGTAAGTGTGTTCTTCAAATTATAAAGATGGCGCTTATGTAGGTAAAGTTGAGTGTCAAGCTGCTATCGTTTCTCAAAAGACTTCATTAGTATTTTCCTTTTTTAACTTTAATTCTTAAATGTTAATTTCTAAGGGTACCACTTTATTGGAATTACTTTTGGTTTTGACTTTTTTACCCTTGCCTGCATGAATGACGAAACACGAATTGAATGATTGGAGAGTTAGGTTTGGAGGCAACTTCCCGTTGATAAGTCTGTCTCCTTCCCTACTCAACGGTCATTCACATATGCATTTTTTTAAAAAAATTGTTTAATTTATTTTAATTTATTTTAATTAATAGTAAATATATTATTTTCATTATCGATTTTGCCCTTGATTTGCTTATGCTTCTGAATTTAAATGATATTGTAGATTAGTTAGAGAATTAAATCTTTTTATTGTTTGCACATTTTTTTAAAAATTATTTTGGCTTTATCCTTTTTTCAGGATTTAAATTTGCTTTTTTTACTTTTATAACGTATTTGTTTAAAAATTAAATTTAATTGTTTAAATTTATATATCATATATATATATATATATATATAGATATATGTATATTATATATGTAAATATACTAAAGAAAATTTCATTATATTAATCTCCTAATATAAATTTAGTACAATGTATCAAAAATGAGGGAACCCATAAGTAGGAATTTTAATTGCGAAAATTGTTCTTTAAAGGTACTTTAATGGAAATCATAAAAAAAAAAAAAAAAAAAAAAAAAAAAAAAAAACACCTTTTTAAGGAGAACTGGATTTTAAATCATAAATAACAAAATTTCAAACTTTGAAAAAAATTTTAAAAATTAAAAAAACAAGTAATTATCGCTATTGATCGAAAATTAGTTGACTTTTCAGGGGGAATAAACCCACTCCCGTTCAATGAACAATAATTAATAAATGTGAAGGTGTTTCGTCTTTTGATCAAGTAAGAATGATGATGCCAACCTGGCAAATTTAGGCCAAAACTGTAGTTCCGTGAAGTGATGGGAATTATATCCAAAGTAGAGTAAAGAACTTATTCTGAATGAAGTATTTTCGCTAATACAAGATTCTTTAGAGATGTTGAGTGAAAAGCCAATTTATATAGTAAAATGTACAAGATATTTGAGTAAATGTCCCCCGACACCTTCGCTTTTATGCATATTAATTCAAGACTATTTTTATAAAAATAAACATAATATACAGTAGTAATTTTAACTGGAATTATGAAATAGAACTCAAAGTAATTGAAATAAATATGAGAAACATAAGAAATATAATATGTTATCTTTTGCAAAAACAAATCAAATAAAGTTGAAAAATTGAAATATATATAATAAGAAATAATGAAATGTAAAATGTGAAATGTACATAAAAATATAAAAGGCCAAAAAATGTATTAATTTTAGATTTTAGATCAATATGTACACGTTTGGTGCGGCCGATTGCAACCAAAATGGGAGGTACACAACTACATGTTATAAGCAGTCTCATATACAAAATTTCAATTTCTGAGGCTACTCATATTTTATTTATGCGAGATACAGACATATGAAAGTACAAATAAGAAGGGAAAAAAAGTTTTCTCAATCCATTTTAAATCCATTTTTCTGTCTATTTTGGGGATAGCAGGCCTTGATTCTGTCCGTATGCACAAATGTCACGCAAAAACATGGTTCAAATGGATTCCAGCGCGGTCAAAATAGATATTTTCTTTTAAATATGACACCTGACATTTTTCGCAATTTAACAACTTCCTTTACTTTGTACAAGGAAGTAAAAAGGTCTCATTAATAGCAATAGTATAGCTATTAAAAATTTCAGACACATACATTTAGTACCATCTAGTACACATAATACATATAAGGTAAATCATGTGAAATATGCATACTATTTATGTTTTAATCCGAAGAATTTCTGTACAATTTGAATTAATAAAATGACAGTAAAAATATAGCTAAAATTAAAAATCACTAAATCATCTTCACCTAATGAGTACTGTATCTTGAAGCCATCACCAGTTATTTCAGAATTAGAACGGAAAGTTATTTTTATTTTCGTGCCTCGGCTGATTAATGGTTCAGGTGTAGTCAATCCACACATTCTTTCTTTGAACAGCCATGTTTCGTCATTATCATCATATTCTTCAATCTGCAATAAATATTACAGTAATCATTTCCATCAGCATGGATTTCCTTTCAGTAATATGATATTGCAAAAACAATATATATATAAAGAAGAAAGTTTGTGAATTTGTCCTGTAATAACTCAGTCGCTACTATAGCTATCGTCACCAAACTATGGGTGCTGAAAAAGGTCGACGTAAACTTTTTTCAAAAAAAAAAAAAAAAAAAAGATCTAAAATCAGAGATATTAAGTAAAATCTCGGAAAAAATAATTTTCGCCCTCATTTTTCCGATTGGCAACAGTCTCGCACGCTGGAGTGGAAAATCTGCTTTATTTCGATAGTTGTTGCCACTGCTCGGTTTCAAATCGTAGAGTTTGTTAATAAAACATTTCTAAGTTTTACGATGAAATAATAGCATTGCCAAACATTAAATACATTATTCCCGATTCCAAAAATTAGTGGGAAGCCTTTTCGGCTATTCCCGTCTTCGTAAGTCTTTAATCAGCCGCAATATTAATTAAAAACTCTGAAAGCGTTCATTTTCACACCTATTTTTCCGAGTGGCAACAGTGTCGCACGTTGGAAATAAAAATGCTTTATTTCGAAACGTGTTGCTACTAATCGCTTTCAAATCGCTTTTTTAATAAAAAATTGGTAAGTTTTAAAAAATCTCTATATACAAGTATAAAGAAGAATGTCTGTTTGTGTGTCTGTTTGTTCGCGTTATTGATTTCTGATCAATTAGGGTCAATTTTTTTGCCACATTTACAGGGCCGGATTAAGGGTGTCGTAGGCCCTAGGCACTCCAGCAGCGTAGGCCCCGAAATAATAAACATTTTTTAACTGAAATTGACCGCTAATATTAAGTAATAATTTTGTTGTAGTTATAAATCCGAAAATGTGATGATGCGGTAAAATAACATTATTTTATTTTGGGATTTTAATGTTTTTATTTTTCATAGAGCCATTTTCAATAGCCATAAATCCAGAATTGAGTTTATCTGCAACAATGCAACTTTTATATCTACCAAATTCCATGCAGAATTCCAGGGTTTTAGTACATAAACATGACAAGACATTAGCCGCCGGGAAAACCTCTCGGACGGGCACATGCGTTTGACACAGTTGGCCACGTTTCCATGCCCACTACCAAACGCTTGCGCGCGATCGAGAGGTTTTCCCTGCTGCTAAGGTCTTTTGTTTTAGTAGCTCAGTTGTGTAATAAGTTAATATGTAAACACTACGATAGAGCGTGTATGCCTGTGCTTGTATTTAATCACGCTCACCCCAAGTCAATCTTTAGTTTAAAAACTGGAAGTTAAATTTATTATAAGTAAGGTAAGTAAAGGAAAGTTGTTTTTATACTCTACTTATTTCAACCTAGTTTTGATTCTGGAATATTGCTTCATTCCATTATAATAATAGAATTTTCATTTTATCACTTCTTATTAGTATAATAGTCCGCCGTAGAATGCAGCACAATGCAAGGAACTTTGAGTAGGCCTACTATGGGGTGGTTTGGCCATACTATTGTAAAAAATCTCCAGTAGTAGTCGTAGAAATAGTACAGTCCAAATCACCTTTGGAATAGCTTAATTTTAATCCATACTCGTAAATCCGGGTTTCGTTTTTACAAGTTTAAAATGCATTACTTAAACAAATTTAAAATAACTTTTTAGCTTTCTGATAGCATAATAAAAGCGACGGGCGCAAACTAAAATGTATATTTAAAGGTGACGAGAAGAAGAAGAAAAACAAGTTTAAATTTTAGTTTGTGCGTGCCAATCGCTTTTATTATGGTATATCAGAAAGTTAAAAAATTATTTTAAACTTTTAAGCGCAATTTATAAAAGCTTTTTTTAAATATTTTTTTTTTAGCGAAAAATGTCTGATGGATATAAAAAGAAACAACCCAAAGTGGACATGAAAAACGCAAAAAGAAAGAGAAAGTGAGTGAGTCGCTTAGTAAAATTAAAGGTTCTTTATTGAAATATGTTAACATTTCTAAGGAGACAGAAGATAATGCAGATGCGGTAGATATTTCCTCGATCGAGGTTAGACCTAAAGAAGCTGAGGCTTGTTGGGACTCGCAAGAATGTTCAACCAATAAAACTGAGAATGTCACAGAAGACGAGGCTGACGGGGGTTTTTACGAAATTTTAACGACGCTTCCAAGCAGGTGGTGCCTGAATCACTACCAACAACATCAGCCTCAAGTATTTTCAGTTCTGATCCAGCACGGTGGACAACCATAAGCGCAGATCTTATCGATTACTTCTCTCGTAATCACCCTGTGCAGAAATTGGATATAAATTTTAAGTTATACGCCACTAAATTTGGCGAAATAATGAGATGTCCATCACAAGATTATTTTTTCAGAAAACTGAAAAACAATGATATTATAAAAAGGGACTGGTTGATATTTTCCGAATCTACTGGCAAGGTTTTTTGTTATAAATGTATTTTGTTCAAATCGGACCTACCTGGAAATCCAAACCTGTGTAACCAATTCCTTACAGGCTTTAATGACTGGAAAAACGCACATTCGAGAATTTCAAGTCATGAAGTGTCAAAAGAACATTTTGCATCTATTTCTGCTTTAGTGAACTACCAACAAACTAGAAAAATTGATGAGACGTTTGATATTGTCAAGGAAAAAGAAAGCACATATTGGACAACGGTTTTAAGAAGAGTAGTGGAAGTAATTAAGTTTTTGGCCGAAGGGGACTATAGCGTTTAGAGGCGATAATGAAATACATGGTGATCCTAGTAATGGCAATTTTCTTGGGTGTATCGATCTCTTAGCCAAATTTGATCCGTTTCTAGAAGAACATGTAAGAAGATACGGTAATCCAGGCAGCGGAAAAGTGTCATATTTATCCTCCACAAACGTATGAAGAACTAATAATTTTACTGGGGTCAAAAGTATTGGAAAAAATAGTTACAGAAATCAAAGAAGAGCCAAGTATTATGGAATCACTGTGGATTCTACACCTGACGTTAGCCATACGGATCAACTCTCCATAGTTATTAGATATGTCTCAAAAAACTGGAGATATATATGAAAGATTTTTGATGTTTGTTAAAATAGAAAAACATGATGCCAAGTATCTTTTTGACACTCTAATTTCAGTTTTAGAAAATCAGGGAATAGACCCAAAATTTTGCAGATGTCAGTCTTATGACAATGCGGCTAATATGAGCGGAGTGTATTCGGGAGTACAAACTAGATTTAGGGAAATCAACAGCGCAGCCACTTGGGTACCATGTGGAGCTCATAGTTCTTAATCTAGTTGGCACAGCGGCGGCAGAAAGCTGCTTAGAAGCTGTAAAATTTTTTGAAATTTTGCAATCGCTCTACAATTTCTTGCAGCGTCCCCTCAAAGATGGTCTAAACTAAGGTCTTTGGGAAGTAAAATTTCTGTAAAAAAAGACTTTCAGAGACCAGATGGTCAGCACGTTATGAGGCTGTAAAAACATTATGTGCCCATTATGATGATATATACGTGGTATTCTTACAAATATTTCAACTAGTGAAGGTATGAAACCTACAACAGTGATTGAGGCACAAACCTTAATCCATCAAATGAATACTTTGGAGATGGTATTACTCACAGTTATTTGGGAAGATCTACTAAAAACACGTCGATATTGTAAATAAATCTCTTCAAGAACCTGGCATCGAGTTTAACACGATGGTGCGACTTTACGACAGTTTAATTCAATATTTATCTCACTGCAGAACTGAGGACATGTATAATAGCTATTATCTTAAGGCAAAAGCCCTTGCACCAGATTCAGAATTTAAAGAATCCGAAACTAGAGTTCGTAAGAGAAAACGACAGTTCGATGAAGGGTCAGATGAGACTCCCTCTCGCAGTGCCAAAGATTCCTTTAAGATTAATGTTTTTTTATTGTTCTGGATGTGCTTTGCGCTGAAATGACAAAGAGACGCACTGCGTATACCAGCCTTTATGACACATTTAGTTTTCTTACGGATAATACACTGACCGAGGACATTATCAAGGTTAAGGCTCAAGCTCTGGTAAAAATGTATCCGTCTGACTTAGAAGAAAACTTTGCTGATGAGTATTTGATTTTTTCAAATTTGTACCCCAAAACCACCTCTATAACGGATCTCATCAAATTACAAATAAAGGATAAACTTGTGTCAAGTTTCCCAAATGTTAATATTGCATTGCGCATATACCTTTCGATATTGGGTTCGAATGCAGAAGGAGAAAGATCATTCTCCAAGTTGAAGCTTATAAAAAATTTTTATGCGTTCAACTATGGGTCAAGAGAGAACTTCGTCACTGGGCCTTCTGTGTATTGAAAGTGATGTCGCTCGCGGCATTAATTTTGAAGATATAATACACGAATTCGCTGTGTCAAAATCCCGAAAAAAGGAGTTATTTTAGGATCTACTTAGTAAACCAAACGTTTTGTATTCGTATTTTTTGTGTATTTGTATTTACATATATTATTTTGACCTTCACTATATAATAATATAAAAATATAAGTTTATAAGTTTATAAGTTTTTGGGGTATTTTTATTTCAATATATTTTTTTTTTCAAAGCCCTAAGACCTTTGGCCTTCGTAGGCCCTAGGCACGTGCCTACTGTGCCTAATTGGTAATCTGGCCCTGCACATTTAATGGACTAAAATTGAATATAGGTGAAAAATTGGATGGAACTTTAGCTTTTATGACCATTTGATCAGAAAGACGAAAATCATTAAAAACTGCGTACCATTGTTGCTGATATAATGAGAGAGGAATAGTTTATTTTTCTATCGAAATTTTTTATGTGGGCTCCGTATTGCATCAGACTGAAAAATCTATGACTATGAATACACGTTTGGTGCGGCCGATTGTATATTATTATGATTTTTTGCATCGTTATCATACAACGATATCGTTCTCTCTGTTGTCAGATGTATTACTTTCAATCTAACTTAACTGGCATCGGTTACTTTCTCTAGTACTATCTAAAATATCAAGAATAGCTACGACACCTTAGTGGCTCCAACAATTAGTCATGTTGATAACCACAGCTGGCTATAGATAGAGACTTTTATCTGTTATTTAAAGTAGTAGATCTCTTTAATTGTAGTTGTAGTTCACTTTGGCTTAACCGTCCTGTCGACAGCCCTATCTCCTTACTTTACGGTTTTTCTTTCAAAGAATTTTACAAAATATTATCATTTCTCAGTGTTCAGGAAGATGTAGGTAAAGCAACATTGCCTAAAACTAGGGATAAATATTATTTGAAAGTCTGTAGTCTCTTTGTCGGGTTAATATTATAGTACTGGTAAAAATAGGTTAAGAATAGATACAAATTAATTACGATATAGGTGAGAAAGTAAATAGTAATATTAAAGACCTAAATCACAAAAAAGTGTTAATTAGCCGAAAATACCTTATAACATGATATTAATTGTTTTAGAATGCACAGTTCTAACAAAATTACCGTAATCATTTTAATTATAGACCTAAATTACAAAAAGTGTTAATTAGCAGGAAATACCTTATAACATGATATTAATTGTTTTAAAATGCACAGTTCTAACAAAATTACCGTAATCATTTATTTAAACGCGGCTTCAAAAATGTGGATTTGGTATTTCTTAAGTTGAAAAGTATTAAAATATTTAAATTAGCCTAACTTCCATTTTTTTTTTCAGATTACTTTGTTTAATATATTTTTTGGATAATATTCCACGTAAACATTAATAAGTTGAAAAATGGCATTAATTAAATAAATTACTTTTTAAAACGAAGAAGTCAGAACCCAAGCAGCCATTTTATTGTGGTAAATACAAGATACTCTCTTTAAGACAGAGTATAATGTGCAGTTTTCCAACTCCAATAATACCTTAGGAATTGCAGATTGAAAACTGTCTATATGGCACTTAACTAGATCTAGAAGATGGTCAAGAACTGCTAGTTTAAAGTAAACTAACTTTGAAATTAATATTACTTACAAGTGAAAATTAATACCACAAAGGTAGCTGCCCAACATATAACAATTAAATTTATCGAAGGGAAGTAAATATTTCTCAATAATTTCATCAACATATGCTTTTCCATATTCAATACTCACAAGTAAATAATCCTTGTCGCAAACATTACTCATTTCGATATCAAAGCGCCCCACGAATTCCAGCTTTACAGTACTTCCAGGCAAGTATTCGATATTCCAGGTGCACTCTACATTGTTTCCGTAGTTGGATGGATAGTTAGGCGAGGAGATGCTTCCTCTCGTCATACTAATTATGCCTCCACAACCTAAAATAACGAATTGTTCGTATATGAAGGGGCGTTTTTTTTCATTTAAATACACATATACATTTCGAGAGCATTTGGGCTAACGCTCGTTTCGGCTAAAAATATTTAAAAACAGCATATCTTTAGAATTTCCGATAGACAGCCTCGCGCGCTGGGGATAAAAATGTTTCTTCCCGTACAGTGTTGCCATTGCTGGCTTTGAAATCGTTGAGTATGTTAATGAAGAATTCATAAAAGTTTTACAAAATAATAAGACGCAGAATAAAACAAATTTGAAATTCAAAATTCGGACTTACAGGAGTCTATATTCGGGTGGCTGTAGGTAACGTCATTTTCTCACAATGCGAGAAACATACATACACTCATGCAGATTCTTCATTATTTAATTTCTTTAAATATACGAGGGCATTTGGAAAAGTAAAGATACAATGGCTCGCATTCCTTGAAGAACATTTATTTAGAAAACGTCAGTTACATCTTATTAACTGGATTATTTATTATTTTTCGACATAATCACCCCCGTTATCCAAACATTAAGTAGGTGCACAAGCTTTTGTATCCCACAGTCATAGAAGGTTGCCGCCTGTTGGAACCTAGCGCGTACACAGTTTCCTGTACCCTAACTTGACAGTCGCAACTTCATAAAGAGTTGTCATTGACACTTCCGGTACGATCTGATGCAATTCTTTCAATTTGAGACCTCTATTCGCACGAAATTGCTTCCTCTGTCCTCTGTTCTCTGAAGAAGGGCGTCAGAGATCACAGATGGCCGACCTGTTCTTTGTTCATCATGAACATCTGATCCTACCTTCAGAGAAATGACGACACCATTTCGTTACATTTTTGTCGATTCATAATGTTCCCATAAACAGAAACAATTTCTCTGTGAATATCCGCTGGTCGCTTGACCTTTTACATGAAGAAAACGTATTGACTGAGTGCACTTCGCATTTGGCGGGATTCTTGAATCAGGCTCAACCATTTTAAACACGACCTACTCCAACCAGAATCAACGTTGAAATGCCGAACGACCGCGAGGAGAAAGCTAACGGTTCAAGGTTAACACCTGTGTTACCAACTTGCTCACCAAAACTTTTCTTTTTCTCTGGCCTACGGTGTATCTTTACTTTTCGAAATGCCCTCGTAGATAAATAATAAATAATAAATTCAAACAGAGAAAGAATTGGAATTGTGGCTTGAGTTCAGCTTTGTGCAACTTTGAAAACTTGCTTGGCATTGGTTTTTGTCTGTTTTATATTGTTTTTACTTAATGTCGTACTAACCCTTTATTTATTTATTAGTCCTTTATTACCCCGTAATGTGATGACGTCTTACTGGTTTGTATAGCTTTATAACTTTTGTATAGTTGGATTTTTGTATAGAATTGGAATGTATAGAATTGTATAGAAACTTTTTGTATAGAATTGGAAAGACAAGAAGGATATACGTTTGATGAGTACAGTCCATAATAACTCTATGATTGATGTTAAAACACGGAAAAGAACTGTAAAAAAAACCCAATAATTGTAAAAGATTACCACAACAAAACGGGAGGAGGAGACCGCTGAATCAGATATAATCAAATTAATCCTACTGTTAGAAATAAGCAGAGATATTATTACTTTTCCATTATGCTTTATTTCCTTATAATTTTACTTAATATTCATTTACATTCATCCACTACGAAAGTTATGTATGGAAAGTTATGTATGTACAGAGAAAACGACAATACACGCTGCGAAAAACAAAGGGCGCTAGGGAGAAATTTTCGCGGACAGGAGAGGACGGCGAAAGGGTTAAACAATTTGAAATTCGTCATGAACTCATCAAAACTAGTCACTTATATTTTAAGAGAAATAATAACGTCAAGAAAAGGTAAAGATTATTTTCGCTGACAAAAGTTAATTGTAAATTTAAGTTTTAAGTTTCGAATGTAATACGAATGTGCATATATGACAAAGTACATAGGTTATACAAAATACATAGGCAATACAAATAGTACATAGGCAAAGTATAGAAGCAATCAAAGTACATAGGCAATACAAATAGTACATAGGCAAAGTACAGAAGCAATACAAAGTACAAAGGCGATAAAATATCTCCAAACTGAATGGAACTGAAATAAGTTATTTCTGACACTGACCTCTTTGAACCTCCGATGTAGTCATCCAAAATCCAGGAGCAGTTCCGAACTCGTCTGAATGGAATTTCACAACAAGGTAGTTGCTTGTCGATGTAATTGGAGATGGATTATGGTCACCACAAAACTTTCCCACTAGTGGAGAGTTGAAACGTACTCCATTGAAAATCGAAACGTAGTCGCGGTTGCAGTCATTCTCCAGATGAAGGTCCATTGTTGTTAGCTGATGATTAGTTAGAATAATTTTTAATAATATCTTTTAATTTATCAACATAGCTGAAAAGTGGTTACTGCCTATTTTAGTTTCTTTTGTCTCCTTTCTTTTTTATTATTTTTCTATTTAATGTGTGTGTGTATATATTCCGAAATTACGCATATATATATACACTCATGTCCATAAATTAAGGATAATTCGGAGTCACGCGGAAATCGAACTCTAAAATAAATATATCACCTGTAAAATCACTACACACATCTTCAAGAATCACATGCAAATTTCAGGAAGTAACCAGATGACACCGATGGTATGACACAATGACGAGAGTGTAAGAGAGTGATATATAAGGAATACAGGCAAAGAAGTAAAATTGTTCGCAGGCACTTTATAAGCATTTCAGTGCAATAACCGAATAGTTATGATACAAAGGACGCATTTGGATGATTTTTTACGAGGTAGAATTATCGGTCGTCTGGAATGTGGGCGTACCCAATTGGAAGTAACAGACGAACTTGGGAATTGCCCAGAGTGTCATCTCCAGGCTTTGGCAACGATTCCAAGATGATGGTAATGTGAGTAGACGTTACAGCACAGGTCGCCCCAGAGTTACAACGCCGAATGAGGACCGGTATTTGGCAGTTACTGCCAAAAGAAACAGGTGGAGCACAGCCTCAGACCTGTCTCGTCAGCTCTCTTCAGCCACTGGTACGACAATTTCAAGGCAGACCGTGTACAGACGCTTAGGGCAGATTGGTCTATATGCTCGTAGACCTGTCAGATGCGTTCCACTTACTGCAACTCACTGTCGCCTGCGGTTAGCCTGGAGTAGAGAGCATGCATTGTGGACACCGCAACAGTGGGCTTGTGTGATGTTTTCCGACGAGTCCAGGTTTAGCTTGCAGTCTGATTCTCGCCGGACTTTCATATGGAGAGCTCCAGGTACCCGTTACCACCAAGAAAACATCATTGAACGACACCGTTACGGTGGTGTAGGAGTGCTCGTTTGGGGTGGAATTATTCTGGGTTCCAGAACTGACCTGCATGTTCAAATTGGAACCATGACAAGCCATATCTATCGGGACGTCATTCTGGAACGACATGTACGTTTTTTTCGGGACGCCATGGGCGCACAATTTGTGTTTATGGATGACAACGCCACTCCTCACCGTGCAAACATCGTAAGCGAATGCCTTCAATCGGAGGATATCACCCGTATGGCCAGCATTCTCACCGGACTTGTGTGGGACATACTTGGCCGACGAGTTGCAGCCCGTCAACCTCCTTCTACATGTCTACCGGAACTTCGGAGTGCATTGCTTTTTGAGTGGTGTAATATCCCCCAAGATCAGATCGATAATTTGATACTCAGCATGCCTAGGCGTTGTACGGACTGTATTGCATCGTCTGGGAGACATACAATGTATTAACAATCATACCAACCATGTAATATTGGTTTTTTTGTAAATAGGTTTTTTTTTTTTTGTAATTTGCTCCAGGGAGAAAAAAATCGCTAATTTTTTTAATAATATTGTTGCGTGCGTACGGTTCGCTATTGCACAAGTCCGATGAAAAAGAACAAAAATTTATTATTACACAAATGCTTAAATTCTCAAATTATCATGCAGTACAATATCTCACAGTAGTTATCTTTAACTACTCAAATGTACAGAACTAATTCAAAACAGCTAAAGAAAGCTAATCCGCGAATTCGCTACAATCAACAACGGCAGTTTTTCTTCTAAACAACAACAAACTAAGCAACTACTACAAACTGAGATGGTTTTTCCTCCTTATTATAAGCTTTTAAAATCACGCGCGCTAGAATTTTCCAGTACTTTCTCGAAATCAAAAAGAGATATTTATTTATTTAATGCACGCGCTCTTGTATTTTCAATTTTCCTGCTTAGCTTTCTTTTAATATTCGTCACGCGCTGCACTGCGCGAGAAATAAAACCATTTAATTTATAATTGAACTAACATTAGCTTTTTAAATACCAAATTCGTAACACTGCCCCCTTCCCAAGGACTGCACGTCCCGGGCAGTACAATCCCTGGACAGGAAGCTAAACTTACAACTGTGGCATACATGCAACTGAGGCATAAACATTACATTACAATATCAAACCACATGAACAATAAATGCAATAACTAACTTAAACAAATCAAATGCTATCAAATACTAAATACACATTTATAAACAAAAAGGATCATGGTCTGATACTATTTACAATTATTTACATTACGTACTATGGCCATAGTAATTAGCTAACCTGTCGTAAGAGTTCGAAGACTCACGGATCCGAACCACGACGTCATTCGTGTTCAGCACTGTATATGGACCATCCGAAGGTGACTGTAATTTAGGACTCAGTCCTTTTCGTTGAATTGGGTTCCACAACCACACCTTGTCTCCTTTGTTGGAATCTCTGTCTAGTAGCTCTTGTGTCGCATCTGGTCTTCATTTTTTCCGTCGCCAAGTTGACTCGCTTTCGTGCAGAACGGTGCATCCCTCAAAACGAGCCTGGGCATCTTGGATGTGTTCCTCAGGCGATGAAGGCGCATCCGTAGGGCGACTAAACAGGCGGTCACAAGGCAGACGAAGGTCTCGACCGAAGAGCTTCTGGGATGGAGAATAGCTGGTAGTCTTGAGTTTCTTTTCGACCCTGGTATGATTTCGGCAGCTTCCCGAGCTCGATCTTTCGGACAAGGCGTCGACATTTCCAGGCGAGGATCCCTTTTGAGGATGGATAGTCATGCCATCAGATGCTGAAAGCAGCTTATAGTTTTTGAAATCTAAGGAAAAATTGTATTTCCTTAAAAAGTCCAATCCGAGTATGCATGGATCTGTAATATCCGCCACATATGCCGTGTGATGGTAGGCGGCACTTCCAAACGTGATGTTTACGTTTAACTTCCCAGTTATGTCGATCTTGTCACCAGACGCAGTCTGAAGGGTAACACAGGATGGCGTCCAAATAAGTTTATCTTTAAACTGTTCAGCTAAATCTTTCCTAATGATGGTAACATTAGCTCCTGTGTTAATGATCATATTGCAAGGAACTCCATCGATATTCCCATTGATGGACAGTCCGTTATTGTTGCCACTCACTATAGAGATCTTAAGCGCTTTAAAACAGGGTTTTTCATTATCTGGCAACCTCCGTTCCTTGATGTGGTCATTAATTTGTTTCCTGCGTCGTTGCTCAGAAATTGTCTCAATTTTCGTACCCTGGGGTGTTCTGCAATTCTTTCGTACGTGGCCTTCAGCTCCACAGTTCCAGCACTTTGGTTTCTTGTCAGTCCTTTTCCTTCCCGTGGCATTTAATTGTCTGTTTAAATCGTATGCCTTATTTTCCGTGCTCTGGGGAGTTCTGCAGTTCCTTCGTAGGTGGCCTTCAACACCGCAATTCCAGCACTTTAGGGTCGGTTTCTTTCACCACTATTCCGTCTTAAAGCATTCACTGGTCTTGTCAACTCATCCGTTTTATTATCCGTGCCCTGGGGTGTTCTGCAATGCCGTCGTAGGTGACCTTCAGAACCACATCTCCAACTTTACAGCCACTTTGTTCTCACTGCTACTCCGTATCAAAGCATCGACTTGTCTGGATAAATCATCTAAACGAGCCATCAATTGGTCCCCTGGGTCGTGGACTCGCACAGCTCTGACTGGGTAGCTATCTCCTAAGAGTTGCTTGCTGGGCTGCCTCAAATTTCATGGCATACAACTAGAGCGCTTTTCAGATCTTTTAACATCCGCCATTCGCAGTGCTTTCTGTATTTCAGGGTCCCGGATGCCATCGATGAAATATTGCAGGGACAGGATTTCCCTTGTTTCTGTCGGGCACTCCGAAAAGGCGTGATGTGACAGCCTTTTAACATCCGTGGCGAGCTCCTGAAGTGTTTCGGTGGGCTTCTGTTGACGGGATTTAATTGGAAGCCTACTGTAGTCTTTTAAACATTTCTCGCCAAAGCGCAGCTCCAAAGCGCCGGACAGAGCTTCGAAGTCTTAGCCTTTGGTTTTCGGGAAGCGTCTGCAGGATATCCGCTTGCGTCTGCTCTCAGAGAAGCGGCGAGATGACAGGCCTTAGCTTGGGAAATCCCATCCATTCGCATTCGGCCACGTATAGAAAACTTGTGTCTTATACACTTGCCAGGAGGTCTTCCCATCATATGTAGGATAGCTTTCAGAGAAGGGACGAGCAGGCATAGATTGAAAAATTTAAAACCTTCAGAATTGTTTCCTACCGTCGCTATGCACTTCTTTAGAGTGTCAACTTCTTTAGAGACGACAACAGAAACCCTATTATCAATTTGTTGTTCGGACGGCAGAAACTCTCTCCTTCTATATCGTTGATCCACAGAAGAAACTCTTTCTTCTACTTTGTTCTTTTACCGAAGAAAAACTCTTCTTCTATTTGTCCAACTTTAGTTTCAAACCGCGCCTATTCTGCCTTCCATAGCCTCAAATTTATTTCTTTACGCAGGTAATTTCTCTTTCATTTCGTCCTGACCTGCTTTCAACCTCATTTTTAAGGGATTTCATCTCTTCCTTAACGGATTCCTGGCCCAATTTCATTTCTCCTTTAACGGATTCCTGGCCCAACTTCATTTGTTCCTGTGCCGTTTTCATTTCTTCCTTGGGGATTCCGGCCCAATTTCATTTCTTCTTTAACGGACCTTTGACAAGCATCCATTTTCTCTTTAATTTTCTTCTTTAAAAGATGTTTGGCCAGCTTCCATCTTTTCTTGGAAAGCAGCAAAGCAGTAATGAGCTGTCTCATTGTTCTTCCATCCCTCTTGTTATTGGCATTCAAATCCCACTTCTGACACCAAAATTTGTTGCGTGCGTACGGGTTCGTTATGAAATGAATGCACAAGTCCGATGAAAAATGAACAAAATTTATTATTATCACAACAGAAATGCTTAAATTATCTCAAATTATCATGCAGTATCACAATATCTCACAGTAGTTATCTTTTAACTACTTAAATGTACAATAGAACGTAATTCAAAACAGCTAAAGAACGCTAATCCGCGAATTCGCTATAATCAACAAGGCAGTTTTCTAAACAACAACAAACTAAGCAACTACTACAAACTGAGATGTTTTCCTCCTTTTATAAGCTTTTTAAAATCACGCGCTAGAATTTTCCAGTACTTTCTCGAAATCAAAAGAGATATTTATTTATTTAAATGCACGCGCTGTTGTATTTTCAATTTTCCTGCTTAGCTTTCTTTTAATATTCGTCACGCGCTGCACTGCGCGAGAAATAAAACCATTTAATTTATAATTGAACTAACATTACCTTTTTAAATACCAAATTCGTAACAATATCTAACATATAGCATCTTTATTTGCTCTTTGCCTTTTGTTTAATAAATAAGCTTTACAAATAAGTCAAATTTGTTTTGCTTCTAACTCTTCCTTTGCCTGATTTTGCATTATTCTTAATTTATGGACATGAGTGTATATATATATATATATATACACGGAATTTCGGACACACACCATTTCTGAGTAAGACACAGAAGACTACACTTTACCAACATCCCACTAGAAAGATCGTAAATTGATTAATGCATTTTCTGGCCTTTCAATTGGCAAACTTTACGAGTCATGTGTTTCATGTACATTTCAGATCTTACATTTCATTATTTCTTATTATATATATTTAAATTTTTCAATTTTTATTTGATTTGTTTTTGCAAAGATAGCATAGTTTTGTTTCTTATGTTTCTCATGTTTAAATCAGTTACTTTGAGTTCTATAGGGTTGGAGGGAAAGTTCTGTCGTATTTTAAATAGGCAGGTGATTTTTCTTGTAAATAAAAAAAACATCTGGCTAGTGAGTCAATCGGATTTTTGTTTTGTTTTTTTAGCTGCTGTATAATATAAAAGGTGCCCTTTTTTACTGTTCACCATTTACTTGTAATATTTAAAGGGAAAAACATGTCGGTAGATAAAGTGCATTTACGACACTGCATTTTATATGAATTCCAAAAAGGAAGCAACGCATCTGTTGCATGAAAAATTTATGCGCGGTATTTGGAAAAGATATTGTAAATGTTCGTACTTGTCAAAGATGGTTTTACAAATTTCGTTCCGGGGACCTGAGCCTCAAAGAAAGTGTTCGATCTGGACAACCATCCAAGATCGATAATGATGTTTTGCGATCCATGTTGGAAAATAATCCACATTTAACAAGTCGAGAAATTGCAGAAGAGTTTGGCATTCATCATACAACTGTTGGATATCACATTAAATCTCTTGGGTTTGTGTTAAAGCAAAGTGTTTGGGTTCCACATGAATTAACGGAAAAGAATTTGTCTGATCGTGTAAGAATATGTTCATCACATCTGATTAGACACAACGTGGAGCCGTTTTTGGACAGGCTGGTTACTGGAGATGAAAAGTGGATTCTTTACGAGAATATTAAAAGAAAAAAATCTTACTGCAAACCAGAACATCATCAGCAAACAGTTCCAAAACCAAGTATCCATCAACGAAAAGTACTGCTTTGTTTGTGGTGGGACAGGAAAGGTCCAATGTATTACGAGTTGCTGAAACAGGGAAAAAACATCAACGCGGATCTGTACTGCAATCAGCTGGATAAATTGAATGCAGCTATCAAAGAAAAAAGGCCAGCATTAGCGTCCAGAAACGGAATAGTGTTCCATCACGATAATGCTCGCCCGCATACTGCAGTGGTGACACTACAAAAACTGAATGCGTTAGGATGGGAAATCCTTAGTCACCCCCCGTATTCACCTGACATTGCACCCTCTGATTATTACCTGTTCAGATCTCTGCAAAATTATCTAACGGGAAAAAAAAATTCAAGTCTTTTGAAAGTGTTTTCTAAGGCAGTTGCTGACTATTTTAACTCCATGGATGAGAATTTCTACAAACAGGAATTTACAGGTTACCTGGAAGATGGCAACAGGTTGTAACAAATAACGGAGCATATATAATTGATTAATATTAAACACATATTTTTATAAATGAATTGAAATATTTTCTTTAAAATACGACAGAACTTTCCCTCCAACCCAATATTTCATAATTCCAGTTAAGATTACTACTGTATACTATGTTTATTTTTATAAAAATAGTCTTCAATTTAACATGCATAAAAGCGAAGGTCTCGGGAGACATTTACTCAAGTATCTTGTAAATTTTACTATATAAATTGGATTTTCACTCAAAATTTCTAAAGAATCTTGTTATTAGCGAAAATGCTTCATTCGGAATGAGTTCTTTGATACTCTACTTTGGCTATAAATCCCACCACTTGACGGAGCTACAATTTTGGCGTAACTTAATTTGCAAATTTGGCATCATCATTCTTACTTGAACAAAAGACGAAACACCTTGGCATTTATTAATTATTGTTCATTGAACGGGAATTGGTTTGTTCCCCTTGAAAAGTCAACTAATTTCCCATCAGTAGCGATAATTACTTGATTTAATTTTTTAAATTTCTTTTTCAAAGTTTGAAATTTTGTTATTCATAATTTAAATTCAAGTCCCCTTAAACAGCTTTTTTTTTTGATGATTTACATTCAAATTCCTTTTAAAAACAATTTTCAGAATTTTTTTTTTACAAGTATTAAATAGTAAAAGTAAAATCGGCATGGAAAAATTGCTTGACTAACAATGGCCAGTAGCAGTGGATATGTATAAAACTGTGACATTATTTACATTTCCTACTATTAAAAAAAAAAAAAAAAAAAAAAAAAAAAAATGCGATTACCTCAACATGATAAATCGCACACAATTTAAATAAAATGACTATAAAATTATATTACCATAAAAGTACAAAATCTAATTGAATGGAAAATCTAGTAAAAATACGTCAATTGACATAAACATACATTGACATACATCAATTGACATCAATTGACATCAACTGACAAAAATATAGCGGTCAATTTAACAGTAGAATTTAAACTTACTAAATATTTGACTCGTAAAGTTTGCCAATTGTAATGTTGTAAAAAACAATACAGTAGAAGATTATTAAACTGCTTTAAATTCGTTTCAAGCTATTAATCGTGAAAAATTAAAGCTAAACGTTCTTGTATTAATGAAAAAATAAAAATAAATTAAGACAATTTTAAAAAAATTCTGTGTTCGACATTAATACACCCCCAAAAACCAATATGGTGCTATTCCTCTTTTCTTCTTGAGAATGGGCAGAGTCTCTCTCTCTCTCTCTCTCTAATTCAATTTGACTACAATCAACCTCATTAATTGGCATTCCAACATCTCCAGAAAAAGTAATACCTAATGCTATTCACATTTAACTACTAATGATAAAAAATTTTGCAGTTACGTAAATACTTTGAAGAAGTACGACTATTAATTAATCTACTCATAGAAAATTCACAAATATGAAATTTCAAAAATATAGAATTTGCCAACATTAAAAAAGCAGGCATTAACTACAATTTTTAAATTGTATATTTACAGCGATATGACTTTTAGTCTCAAAAGAGAAGCAGGTAAAGTAGGATAGCTATTACAGGTAATTTAATGTTCATAGGTAATGAATTTTGTATAATATAATCTCTTAATGTAGTTATTCTATTGTAAAATACGTATGTGTCCGGTTTTTCAATTTTATAGTAACATTTCTTATTATAAAATTGTTCATTGATTCTCGGGATCTGGCAACCCGGACAAGCTGAGTTCCAACCACAGAATTTGGCAACCTGAGTTTGCACATGTTTCTGTTAAGTTATTTCAGCCACATTGAGGAGCAGGTTTGGATGCGAGAATTGGAAATTCTTTTTCAGCTTATTTTTTCTGTTTTATTTTCCTATTTCTTTTAATAATTTCTGATTCATTTTATTGCTTCCTTTAATTTTAAAGCACCAAAATGGATTACAGTTTGTTCCATTTTAACACACTGCAATTTTTAATTAAAAAAAAAAAAAGGATAGGACTTCAAATTTTCGAGACAGACTTGTTTTTAAATACAAATTTTTAAAGTCAGAGTCAGCACAGAGTTTCTGTTTTGAATAATTAAATGCTCGACGAAAATAAAATGAAACTTACCACTATTTCCTTCCCATATGGAGCTTTTATAATCCAGTGACAGTCAGTATTAGGTGGATAACCGTTTGGATATCCTGGTGAAGTAATGTTTATATTGCTGTACAGGTTGATGAATCCACCGCAGTCTAGAAACAGATTTATTGATGGATTATATCATTCTATAAGCAGTTTTTACATCTGTTGACTATATATATATACCAATTGCCCGAAAAGAGGATTATGCTATTGTTTGAAATGTAGTATAATCTCTTTGAAAGTCTTCTGATGGTATGTGGATTAAGGGTGAAAGTTATAGCCCTGGCGCAAGACACGGAACAAGGCTCATTTTGAAGAGAATTATACAAAACGTTTTGGATTGTGAAGTCATCTCTGGACAGAATGCTGGATCGAGAGTTTTCATTCCACGTGTTTGAACTTTCACCATCAGATTCAAACCTCCCCTTTCAGCTCAAGCGAAGACAGTTTCCCATCAGGCTTGCATTTTGTATGACTATTAATAAGTCACAGGGACAGACACTTAAGAAAGTTGGGATTTTATTTACCGCAACCAGTTTTCAGTCATGGAATGCTTTACGTAGCTTTTTCAAGATGTTCGTCTATGAGGAATGTTCGTGTTTTAGTGAAAGACACCAAGAAGCAAGGCCGTTTGATGCCCGCATGTTCTAAAGTATTCACACAATTGTTAATGAGGAAAACATAACAAAATTTGAGATTTTGGAGCTGAAAATGAAGAGTCAGAGGAAGCAAAACCCCACTTGACGGACTAAATTTGGCGTTTTTTGAATTTGATCATCATAACTACTGAACAAACGCCCTGCATTATTATATTGTTCATTGAACGGGAGTTGGTTTGTTCCCCTTGAAAAGTCAGCTAATTTCCCATCAGTAGCGATAATTACTTGTTTTTAATTTTTAAATTTCTTTTTCAAAGTTTGAAATTTTGTTATTCATAATTTAAATTCAAGTCCCCTTAAACAGCTTTTTTTTTTGATGATTTACATTCAAATTCCTTTTAAAAACAATTTTCAGAATTTTTTTTTTTACAAGTATTAAATAGTAAAAGTAAAATCGGCATGGAAAAATTGCTTGACTAACAATGGCCAGTAGCAGTGGATATGTATAAAACTGTGACATTATTTACATTTCCTACTAAAAAAACATATGCGATTACCTCAATATGATAAATCGCACACAATTTAAATAAAATGACTATAAAATTATATTACCATAAAAGTACAAAATCTAACTGAATGGATTCAATTGACATTGAAAACATAGCCGTCAATTTAACAGTAGAATTTAAACTTACTAAATATTTGACTCGTAAAGTTTGCCAATTGTAATGTTGTAAAAAAAACAGTAAAGATTATGCTTAAATCGTTTCAAGCTATTAATCGTGAAAATTAGTTGAGAATTATGCATTAGTCAATTTTATGTCTGTCGTTACAAAGTGAAATTTAGAGTTGTTAAGGAATCGGAAGTTGTATTATTTTTTCAATGTTGTAAATATTTTTTATAAATTTTCCTTTTCAGGTTTACACACAATTGCTGTCATTAATTTTTTAAATTAATACGTATTTTCTTTTTTTAGGTATTTATGGAACTGATTTCATTCACATAAAATATATATTTTCAGGTGTATATAGAAATGATTGCATTCAAATTAAAATGAAATTTTTAAAAAGGAAAATCTCTCTAGATAGGCGCAGATTTTCTGTTTTACTTTGATCAAACATCTCCACAAATTTAGCGTGGGAACTGTTTTAGACATGAACAATGAATAAAGCGGGCGTAGTCCGCTCAGATGGCATGTTTGCTAGCTAGTACACAAACTAATGTTTGACATACTTTTATTTGACTATACCGCCTGCGAAATTCAAGAGAAAGTTTAAATTATCAACATTTTTCACCTGACTTCATGTAACAAGATGGTGTCGTGTAGATTTTTGTATTTGGTTTTGATTGATTTAATTTGCTATCTAATTGTAATTCACGTAGCTGTTTTAACTTTAGATGTGAACGTCGTTTATAATATGTTATTATTATTCCGAGTTTGATTTATTGGATTGTTTCTTAAATTTGGTTTAAGAATTAAGGAAATTTGCTTGAGTTGCAATTGTTTTATGTAATTTTTGTTTAATTTTTGTTTTTTGCAAAAGAATGTGAAAGCTTATCTAGTTTAACTGTTTTTTGGAGAACGTAATTATTATTTTAAGTTGAATTATGCTTTTGAACTTAAAAACTTAATCGCTTTGTTAATTGAGGTTTCACTTTAGTGTTTCTTGTCTAATTCTTTAAAATTTACGAATCATTAGTTTCTGACTGAACTGATATTTTTCGACCTATGGAATATTCTACCATTTTGGGAAAAAAAAATGGTCATGTAATTGGAAATGTATTAGAGAATTATTCGATAAAATAATTATTATCAGTTTTAAACTGGAAAATTATGAGCAAACGATCTGTGAATTTTTCAACGTTTTCCACCTTTTTGTCTGGAGAAGCTTTATCCATTTGCGGTTGCTTGGATAAGGGTTTGAAAAGTAGGTTTTGTTTCTCTCAGGGGGACAGTAAAAATCCTTTCCTTATTTCAATATAATGGATATTGAACCTTGTAGGAAGAACAAAGCTAAATTTTCAGTATGAAAAAAATACTTTTATTTGAATTTTTAAAACAGAACCAAAAAAAAAAAAAAAAAAAAATAAAAAAAAAATAAATGCTGCGGCTCTTAACTATCAAAATTTTAAACTCTTAACTACTACAGTTAAAACTCTTACAACTGTTATTATATTAAAATCTTAAACTCTCTAAACAAAATATATAAAAATCTTCCGAATCTTCTTCTTGTTGCCACACCGTAAAATGCAATTTCTTGTCCTATTATTTATATTTCACGTTCTCTTTAAGTCACGATCTTTACAAGTAATGATCTTTACAAGTCACGATCTTTACAGGGACTTAGCAACAAAAGGTATGTGCAGCAATTTGGGACCTCGATAGGTCCCAAATTGCATAGTAGTTTCTAAACGTTTACCCTGCAGACCCCTCTGGAAAGGGGGCGATATTTGGATTGTCCAACTGAATCTTGTGTAAGGAGAGACCTGATTAGAGGTTAACAAATGGTTGCATTATAACGTAAGGATTAGATACGAACGTAACAACCCAAGCGTCTGACTCCACCTTGTGTCCTTGCTGAGAAAATAGAGATTTTCAGCCAAGCTTCGTCGACCCCTGGTAGATGATATTGGAGCCAACTAACATCTATTTCTTCTGGAGTGGATGGTGAACTACAGACGTTTTGGATGGATCTGAATCGATAAATTATCCTTCTCACTGTTTTCCTCTTCAGCACTAGGACTTTTACAGTTAGATAAGCGAAATGTTTCTATAAAACTACTATCAACCCACTAGTTTGTATTGTTGTTGTTATTGCTGACCATCTCACTTCTTCGACAATGATCAAGGCCCATGACATCCATCGCGGCAAGGAATCAAATGCTCCTGTTGTTGGCAATAGCCTTGAACACTATTTAGGTGACAACCCGACTTTGGCTTAGTTCTGCCCCAATTCCCAAATTTCGAGAAATTAATTAATTTCCAGACGGACGGGTCCGAAGTCCCACCTCCTCTACCAGCAACCTCTCTAGAGGACATTTGACTCGCCGCCAAATATATTTTGTGTATCCTTACTCTACACAGACTCTATATACTTACAAACATCCATACCTTCTCCGGGATTCGAACCCGGGCTTTTCGGTACGGCAGTCAGAGTTATGTTATGTAGAGATAGTGTGTGATATATAGTGTCACCAAAGAAGTGGATGATAAGTAGCCGGTAGTATAGAATAGCGTAACGTAACACAGCACAAAGTTTGGTAAGACTTCGCTAATTGCATTTCTGACTAAAATTTTAATTGAATGTTTTTGATGGAATCCTTCAAGGTAAATAAATAATAAAGAAATATTATTAATGATAGAGCAAATAAATACACATGAAAAAACATTTACTTACTACTGACGTTATAGGACCCACGAATCCCTCGGAAAGGTTTATCTAATCGGGCCAAGAACCGAACTGAAGTGGAAGTTAAAGGTGAGGTGAACATTACTGGTGATGTATAGTTGCCACAATACGTACCAAGTAACTGAGAATGCAATGCGCCTGTTGAAACAAATAAACGTGTGAAACAGTTTAACTCAAAATTTTTAATTTGTTTTTCAAAACTGGATCATTTATATAACTAGATTTTTAGTTTAGGTGGAAATTAAGAGGAGGTTGTACAATATATTTTATAAAATAATATTTATTAAACTACAGCTTAAAATTAGTGTAAACGTTTTATGTGCTTTCGATTATAACGTGACGTATAAGACTTCTGAATTCTGAATTTCTATAATACTGGAAGTCGCAGTATTCTTCTAAGCCGTACCTGTTGCATACATCGTATCTAGGCTCTTTTTGCTTGGAATTCCAAAGACTTGCAAAAACTATTATTGTTTTATATACCTCCGAAATCAAATATTCCCCTAACATATTCTGAATACGTATAATGTGGGTTAGTAAAATTCATTATCATTCCTAATCATTAGGACCAGTAACGTGATGCATAATGCAAGTGATATGAACTCTGCCATTGTTGTGCCAAAGGTCTTAATACAAGCGCAGTGGTGTTGTAGGAAAAATCAAGATCTGTTTGAAAAGTCAATATCACGCCGTTCGTTTCTCCTTGTCCAGCATTCAGAGCATCACTTCATCTATCCAACTTCAATACTACGGTTTGCTGCAAACCTTCATCGCTTCCTCTTCCACCACACTTCAAATCATGTCATCCGGCAAACAAAAGTTAGCTTCATTTTATTCCTATGTTTTCCGTGCTCTTCAAGTTTGCTTCTCCAAACTATCTCTTAATGAAGAACTAAATTATTTAAAAGTAGTAGCTATTGACAGGAGCTTTTAACCCAACATTATTAATCAAGCAGTTAAAAAATTCTCATCTCAACACACCAAAAGGCACAGTCTTGTTTTAGGAGATTATAAAAATTATGTTGTCATTCCCTTCTTTCCATTAATTAGCTATCAAGTTGCACGTTTTTGCAGAAATTTAACTTTCGGGTCGTTTATTCTCCCATCAATAAAATTCCGAGTTCCTTACTCAAGGACCTCATTCCGGATATGAATTCCTGAGGTATTTCCAGGATTCCTTGCTAGTGTGGTTTAATTTACGTTGGTCAAACTAAGAGAACCTTAAAATTTCGCGTTAAGGAACATGAGGCATATTTTAGAAAAAAGGAAACACAGAAGTTTTATGGTGCCCAGGATTGTTGGTCTGAAAATCACACTTTCAATTTTTCTGCTTCCAAAATTATTCAAAAATCCTCTTCCATTGGTGGACTGGATTTTCTAGAGGCATTTCATATTTAAAAAAAAATCTTTCTGTTCTAGTTAACGACTCTAATTCTAATCCATCTTTGCTTTCAGCCTTTAAAGAAATTATGTTTTAGTTCTGGTTTCATCAACACATGACGCTAGTAGCTTGATTCCTGTCCAGGAATTCTTATCTTATCTTTTCTAATCACTATATTTTATCTCGTTCATTTGCGCTTCTGCAGCTGAGGATTATGGTTCAATAAACCATCGAAACTAGTTCTGTGAAAATTTGAAGATATAACGCTGATTTTTGTTGTTTGACTTCTAAATTATACACACTGTGCTGAAGAGTCAACAATAATCGCAGCTATAGACACTGAAACGATTCTCCTCATCAGTAGACAAACACACCAGACCGTAGGTCTCCGACCCAGATCCATATTATAGAGGACCCATACAGAGTTGAGATATCCATAGTCCGTGGACATCCTCGCGGGCGCAACCCCCGCAGTCCCCGCCCGGCTTTTACAAAGCATTGGGCAGATATAAAACTTGCTATATTGAAACTCTATCACCTTCTCCGGCACCACTCCATCGGCAAAACTTCATTGTTGTAGGTGTCCTGTTCACTCTGTCAGTCCCCGCCACGAGAACTAAATGGAGTCAAACACCCGGGAACTCGGTCGACGATCTCCGATCTAGCTCCACCACAGCCGAAGGAACAGACACGACAGTGCCAATACAGTCTCTGCCAAGCCTGAAACAACCTGAGTACAATACTCGGGTTCTAGTCCTGTGAAGCCAAATTATATACCCCCGTGGTTGAGACTGCCTAGCTACAGATCCTAACCAGTACTTCCTCATCAGTAGACAGCGTCAAAGCGTACGCGATGATAGAAGTTGGTGTGCAACAGATCCGAATTTAAACGCTCGGATTCTTAATGTTGCTGTGCGATTTGCCACCGCTATGCGATCATGCCTGTTCTCTTCGTGACACGGGGAGGCTAGTGCATTCCTCCTATAAGTCTTTTTCTCCCGCCTATCTCCACTGATTCCATACCCATATCACTATAACTTGATTGAGTCAAAGAAAGCACTGTTATTTCGGAAGTATAATCGTCAGTCTCCATACGTCATAACTATTCCTCTATTAAACTCAGATACTTACTCGACAGACTGTCATCATTTTCGAACGACATGTACCGAAGCTTCTTATGGAAAGATCAGCAGGAAAACGGTTCTGAGATTAACATAGCCTACTATTCTCCCTTTTATAGTGCTTCTAGGAGGCGTTTCTAATATATATGATTTGCAGAACGCTGCAATGTTAATTGTTTAGATCTCCAGTTGTGATTTATGTATGGTACAAATTTCAAGTCTTTGGACACCATTCAAAGCCATATCCAAAGCCTAAAAAACATCCTAAAGAAGGGTAAAAAATGTAAACACGATTCCTGTACGCAGACTACGAAAAAATACTAGTCCTTTAGTACCGATGCTTGGAGAATGCCATAACCCCTTGCTCTTTTCCAGCTGACTTCTATCTGTCTGGTAACTTAATGTCAACAAATAAAATAGCGTTCTAGATTTATTTTGCACAGAGGGAATGAAATGGAAAATTCATTCCCTCTGTGCACATCGCGTGATAAGGAAGGTATCCATCTTAACATAATATTAGCAAAGGCATCCTACCCTTCCATGCTGTCCCTAACTAACTACTTCCAGTCATAAACAAACGCATTATGAATTTCCTAAAATGCTGCAGACCGTGATGCCAAAAAAATTACAGTTTTAATACTTGCTTTTTACACTCTTCAGGAATTCAGAGCGAGAATGGGGAGAAATAATTGCCGCTGTTCATTATCATGAAAAAGTCTACGAACACAGAGTTCCTCATGATAGCGAATAATATCGAAGAACTAATATCCCAAGAAGTGTTTCAAATTTGGAAGCGGGAAGTTTGAAAGCACTGCGACTTAAAATCAAAAACATTTTCCAATCTACGTAAGACCATAATTTATTAATGTTTAAAATCGTAGATAAATAATTGTGTTATAGATAATATTCTGTGTTTTTGTGTCCTTTCTGTAGTTATAAAATGTTTTATATTTATGAGAATTCCCTCCGTTGAATATTGTAATGAAGCTGAGAAAACATATCACGGGAAATACGACAAGACCACTTTTATTACTATTACTTAAACAAAATACACGAAAACGTGGCAATAAACGAAAAACTTCTCAAATTAGGGATCTGCGACAGTAAAAATTATAGAAAATTTACCATAACTTGTTCCTGAGGAAACAAACACTCCACTGTTCTTACAGAGATTGATCCTGAGACCTGGAACATCTAGTACATCAAACTTAAACACAACAGTCCGATTGTCCAGACCATCTCCATGCACCCTCCAATTGCAGTATACATAAGAATCATTCACCGTTGTAAAATCTGGAGTAGAAATGTTTCCACTAGGCAAAAGAAGAGATCCTCCGCACACTGTAATAACACAAATTAAATAATTTAAAACAAATAATATGAAATGCAAAATAAATGCTAAATGATTATTATTCAATATATAAGAAACACTCACCTGCTTCCTCTTCAGTTGAATAATTTAAAGAGAAACCTTGCCCAGCTGCAAGCCCACCAGTGTAAAATATAACTTTAATTGTGGAAGCATAAAAACTGATTTCTGGAGGAAGAGAGCTGCCGCACAACGCAGGACTTGCTCTGTATTCGGCTCTTCTTTCAAGGAAAACATTGATGAACTGTATTTAGAAAATAATTATCAGGTAAAGTATAATATATGAGGAATGTATTATTTTGAATATTTAATATTGAGGAAGAAAAGAGAACCATGTGATATATTTAGATAGGAGCAAAATGCTTGCCAAGACTAATTCATTCGTCGATAAATAGGCAATTCCTCCCTCATTTCAGTCTCGAATAATTAACCAAAACTCTTATTAATGTAACTTGCTGGTTCTAACCTTAATAATATTACAAGGTAGTTAACTTCCTTATTGGAAGGAAAACTTAATCTCATATTTAATAGAATATACAGGGTGTCCTGTAAATGCTGCGACAAACTTCTAGCAGAGGTAGTGCACATCATAAAGATTAAAAATTGCATAGGAACCCCTACCCAGAAACGTCAAAATAACAACCTCTGGCGTCGCCGCTAGAGGGTGTTGTACAGGAGAGTACTTGTGCAAAGTGAGGATTGCTTCGTTCGAGCGGTATGCACCATCCGAAGAGCATGGAACGCTGTACCAACGGAGACCCCCCCGGGGGTTGACTCAGGCGAATGCCTGGGGAGTACTGGTTAGGATCTGTCCCTAGGCAATCTCAACCACGGGGGTATAAAAACAGACTTCACAGAAGGCGTGAGGGTTTTCGGGACAGAGTAAGGCTCGGCAGGGACCGTACGGGTACTGCATTATCTGCCGTTGCTCTGTGGGGTCGCCACACGGTAGATTGAATTTTGTGTGGGGCGGCGGTAATCTGAAAGGCCAATAGCCAGAGCAGAGCTGCCTCGCACTACGAGTTGTACCAACGGAGAGCTTATGAATATGTGGTTCCAACATGATGGGGTGCCTGCTCCTTTTGGACTGGATGTTCTTAGCCATTTAAGCAGATCATTCCCGGATCGATGGATTGGGCGTGATTGACCGGTTCCCTAGCCCTCACCCTCACCGGATTTATCTAGCCTTGATTTCTCATTGTGGGGAGCCATCAAGAGTATCGTGTATTACGATCCTGCTGTGTCTGAAATCGGTCTCGTAAGAGGACTCGCCTGCGCAACTGCTACAATCAAAGGAACTCCCGGTATGTTTGAACATGTCCGGCAATCAATGGTCCGTCGGTGTCAGGCATGTTTGGCGTCTGATGGTGCAAACATCGAACATCTCTTGTAACCTTCAAGCTGACTTACACCCTTTGTATTCATGTCTAATAAATGTTTCAAATTAATCACTATTGTTTCTTCTTCCATCTTCTACCTCTGCTTCCACTTATCCCTGACATTTCCAGGCATGGATTCCTATACAATTCCCAATCCATATGATCCCTCAGAAGTTTGTAGCAACATTTGCGGGACACTCTGTATAAAGAATTTGGTACTGAACACCTAAAATTAACTAGGGATTTTTTTTATTGCCAATAGAGACCTATGGGGAAAATCAGGAAAATTTTCTTTCCTCTAACGAACTTCCTAGACTATGATTTGAAACCACGTCGAGGTACCCCAGAGCAGCTGTGTTACTGCTCAGCCGCCGGTATCTTGCAAAGCTGAAACTTAGAGTCATTTAGCTGACTGTAACTGGTGTAAAATAGATTGTTTCACCTCAAATGTACTATACGTTCAGTCATACTATCGCAACAGCACGCACAAATACAGACACTACTGGTAATACGCCAACCTAATGGTCAATCATACTAATCAATTCATAATCAGTACTGAAACACACAATTTAAAAATCAGTCATAATAATCTAGATATCAAGCATCAGCGCGATACATACAGTACACAGGTAAAGTGTGTACTGTCTGTATATTGCGCTACAATAACTGTATCTTTCCATGCCAAAATGATTTTCATAATTTTGTGGTTTTGTTGAAAAACTTGCTCACCTTGGCAACTTTCTAAATTAATTAAACTAAAACTAAATTGTCGAAAATTTTGGAGGGATGTTGTCAAGTACCAATACATCGCCAAATTTCATTATTTTCATAATATGTTAACTCTTTACCAGTAGAATATTAGCAGTTTATTCTTTCGCTATTATATAGTTCTAGATCATTAGACTCACATATATTTTCGTTTTCAAAATAAATGAGAGTGAAAGCTCTGGAAGACCTTCTTTGGTAGATGAGCATTCTTTGAACCATATCTGGCTTGTAAGGAACCGATGAATGCTGCATCATCTTGCTGAATAAAACGAATTGTTTGAAGATGTAAGAAGCCTGTCAGGATGTATATCATGAGCTTCACATTCTGATGGTAAACAACACCTATAGTTGTCGCTAAAGACCCGAAGTGACATAATGAGTTTCATAAAACATAATATGTTTTAAATATACAGTAAAATCCAAAATATGGGAAATATTGGCTGATCGGGACTCGAGTGAATGTTCTTCATGCTATACCAAACTTATGAGGAACCGACGAGAATATTATCACGTTGAAGTAATCAATGAACTTTCTGAAGATGCACTAAGTTAATGACACGATGCATTTTATCGGCAGATCTCAAAAGGCATAACGCATCTCAAAAAGAAAGAAAGAAAGAAAAAAAAAAAAAAAAAAAAAAAAAAAAAAAAAAAAAAAAAAAAAAAAAACTTACAGCATCATCCCAGAACAAGAACCATCATCTTGAGTAAAAGCAGTACGGCATTAAATTTCTTAACGTTACATGTGGATGACCCTGTCACCTGGGTTTACTACGAAGTAGGAACCCTTTAACCACTTTCGCCTCAATTTTTAAGGCTAGATGTTGGTGCCTTTCTAGTACTAAAAGCGTAACGCAGTGAGTGATAAAGGTAGAATTTGTTGTCACATAAAAGTCTAAAATTTGCAATGAATGTTCCTCATGCCATATCTAACTTAGGAGGAATCAATGAAGAGGTATATTATCACGATTAAGTAAGTTAATGAACTTACTTAATAAGAACGATTTATAAGGTATTTCCTCCCACCTTCCAGCGTGCCTTCGTGGTGCTACGGTAGCACATTCCGTGCGTATTCGAGAGGTCCATGTTCGAGTCCCGTCGAGGGCATTGTACATTTTTTCACCAAAAGCTTAATGACTTTATGATTTCAAACTTGCGCCGTACGGACGATTTGCTTGCGATTCCAATAAATAGGTTATAGTAAAGTGACTGAAAGACGTGTTCGCTTTTGAGTGGGGAATGATATGGCCCGGCTGAATTTCTAACAGATTGTAGGTTTCAAATTCTTTAACAGATAGTTTAACAAACACATGCTATTAAAAGAGAAAATTATTTTTGAAATGATCTAAAAGAAAAGTTTTAAAGAAATGCGAGGCAAAAATGTGAGTTCAAGCCATCTCTTTCGTTCTATGGAAAAATGTTTTTACTTTTGCAATTTTTCATACATGGAATTCTTGAGTTCATACATTGGGAATAACTTACCTGTACATAGCTGGTGCACGTGCCTGAAGCCTCCCTGGGCAAGTTAAACCCGGTGAAAGTAGCTTTGATTCTTCGGCCTTCACGTGCTGAAATTTCCCAAGTGCATACCCGTCTACTTCGGAGGGCATTAGGATAATCGGGAGATGTGATAGTACCGAAGGAACCACGATAATTACCTCCACAGCCTGTAAAAGGAATTTAATTAATAACCAAACAATGATAAAAGTAAATAAGGTTGTAATTACGGATAATCGATTAATGCACTATTAGATATGCATACATTATGTAAGTTTTGGTTAGTGCCAGTGTCAGAAGCTGAAAAAGAAGCAATGATTTAAACAAGAAGGCCAATAATTTTACTTACAAAGCATTATCTGTAATTATCGAGCATTCAAGAAATGCTTTATTTTGAAGATATAGTTCGACCGTCTCAAACGCAACCTTGCCTGGCATTTTGCCAAAACACGTAAACTCGTCCCAAAGGAGCGTTATAACTTTATCATCATCCTTTCCTGCAACTGGAGAAGTGGTCATTATGCAAAGTTATCATTCTGTTCCCTGTAAAATCACATCTCCCGCAGAATTTAATTCTACCTTGAATATTTTCTTGCGTTAACTTTATTATTTGCACTCCCAATGTATGCCACATGCCAATGACCCTATTAATCGTAAAATCATTCCTCTCCGCTTTATGCTTTTGTGTTGTATCGTGTTTATATAAAAAATTATAAAATACCAAAAAAAAATTATAAAAAATCAAAATTTCAAAAAACAAAATGATTAAAAATCTAAAAACTTACCAAAAAATTATGTATTCTTAAGTTTTATAAATTCTCGCTATCCCTAAACTTTCTCGAGCCATATGGCTCCCTCTATTGAGGCATCAAGTTTACTACTTATGCAATTTTCCTATTTCTGCTCGCTTTTATGTAATTCTGATGAGGAGGTACATGGTTTTGAACCACAGGCACTCCGCAATTTTTAATCATTGGCATTGCCAAGGAGCGTTATTACGTGTTGCGACGTGAAAGGTCACGTGAAGACCTCCGGAACGAGAGAATTTAGATGCTCAAGAGAAAGAAAGGTCCTCATCCTTCCAGCCTATTTAGAAAATAATTTAGTTCGAATGCCGCATGCGTGTTTGCGCTCATAGTCGCGGATCAGGTGGTCGAACTATACCTATAGCTACTTGGGATACGTAACTGAAAAATAATTTCGTCAAACGCATTCATTTGAGGAATTTCGAAATAGGATGCATCCGGAGAACTACACTCATGCCCATAAATTAAGTATAATGCAAAATCAGTCAAAGGAAGAGTTAGAAGCAAAACAAATTTGACTTATTTGTAAAGCTTATTAATTAAAAAAAAGGTAAAGAGCAAAAAAAGATGCTATATGTTTGATATTATTAAAAAAATTAGCGATTATTTCTCCCCGGAGCAAAATTAAAAAAAAAAAAAAAACTTTATTTACAAAAAACCAATATTACATGGTTGGTATGATTGTTAATACATTGTATGTCTCTCAGACGATGCAATACAGTCCGTACAACGCCTAGGCATGCTGAGTATCAAATTATCGATCTGATCTTAGGGGATAAGGAATGTTTAGTTATTTGCCGCCCAGCCGGGACAGTGGTTAGTGACCCTGACTGCGGTAAGTATAGGACCGAGTTCGAAGACATGGTTGTAACTGTTCATCCCTTCATAGGAGGCAACGGTGGCCACTTACTAGGTGCTTCCATAATGAAATGGCCACCACTTGCGACACATGTAGTGACGCAAAGCTAATGGCTATTAAAGGAAGCACCCGACGATTAAAAATCACGTCTTCAATTATACGTCATATGAAAACCTCTCATCTACGGACTTCATCATATGTCAGGCCCAGTCGGGATTCTCTGAGGATACTGCCAAGAACAGTAACGAATTATCCTTCTGAATGCCAGGAAAAACACCAAAGGTCATTAAAAATGTTTAGTTAAATATCGGGTTTTGATGAAAGTTCCCCGCCACCGCAAATATCGTCTGCGCAAACAGTTCACAATTTGAACTTTTGAATTTGAAACTTTGATTTTTGTAATGTCGTTAAGAATGAAGCATGATTTTCGGCACTCACAAATCCTCGCTGTTTAATATATTAAATAATTATCCGTTGAAACGTTCAGTTTGAAATATTAAACAAAGGTTAATTATGTATATTTTTTAATGTCTTTAATTTAGTTGCTTGCATCACTTCTTACATTTTTGCTTTCATAACAGTCTGCTCTACATCTTAATCTTAAAATTATTTTTTCACTTTTAATATACTGTCACCATTAATTGACCCTAAACGTTTTTCCTCAGATAGGATAATCTTTTAAAAAACCAGTTTTTAACGAAACCGTTTAATATGCATATATTACGGTGGGTTAAAAAAAGTTTTCTTCCTTTCATTTTTACTTCCTTGTACGAAGTAAAAAGGAAGTATTGTAATCGCGAAAAGTTTCAGGCAGCATATTTCAACGAAAATATCCATTTTGACCGCTATCGAATGCAATTTTGAACGATGTTTTTGCGTGATTTCGTACTTAAGGACAGAATAAAATACTCTTTTTCTTCAAAAAAAAAATTATAAAAAAACTTTTAAAATTAATTATGAAGACAATTTTCGTGGCATCTGTACGAACGTATGCAGTACGTGAGTGTCGTGCGTACGTACGTATCGTAAAAAAAACGAGTAGCCTCAGAACGTTGAAATTTTGTATATAGGGACTGCTATAAATGTAGATGTGCACCTCGTATTTTGGTTGCAATCGGCCGCACCAAACGTATATAAATATATTTATATATGAAATGTAATTTCTCATACATTATTTGTTTTGTGCAGCCGGGGCAACAGGAATGAGACGAATTTCGGAATATAAAGTGATAGGTTTATTTTAGCATCCATCTCACAAGCGTTCTCCTCGTAGCTTGAGCAGAAGCCCAATTTATACATATGTGTGCGTCACGAGGCTCCTCCAATCAGCGATATTAATTGAAATCACGAGGTGACGCTATATTCTATCAGGAGTGTTCTAAGTATTTTTATGTAATATGACAGATTTATGAGTTTGGCGAATTGGCGGGCGCCAACAGTTAATATATTTTATACTAAAGAAAGGATTTCGCCAAAATTTAGGAAGGGATTGCAATTTAGGTAGAGAATCGCCAAACACATTACTAAGCAATATTAATTAGAATTAATTTAATCAATTATTTAAAAATATCATTACAGATTATCCCCCCCCCCCATCTGAAAAGGCTTGCAAGTCGCGGCCGTCGACCCAAGACAGTCCAGATAGTGAGAGCAGAAAATTAGTTATTAAAGAAAATTAAGTGAGTAGGAAAA